CACCATCGCAGTCGCCAAAGCCTGACGGTGCTTTTTCCCACGCTAATTAGGCGCTAGCACCGCTGCGGAAGCTCGCCGGTGAGTACGTCGTCGGCTGGAGCGCACCGTGGAAGAAATAGAGGAGGAGCGGCGAGTTGAGCAGCGCAGCCTTGCACCCGGTGCACAAGAGCCGAGCTGAGGGAAATAACGGTGGACTTGATCCACCAGGGACCCTGCCTTAGGTCCATGGACCAACGCCTCTTGGTCCACCGTGAGCCACGCTCACGCCCACAGCCAACGACCACAGCCCAGTGGAGGCCCAAGGCCGTGACGTGGCAGCACCACAGCACGCCACGTGTCCGGGTCAGCCCGGCCCAGACCGGCCCAAATCCAGCCCTGTCCAGGCCAGTTTGAGACCCGGCCCGTATTGACCGATGACTGGTCAACCATGTCTGTTGACCTGGTCCCATATGTCAGTGGCACAGACACACTGGACCCACACGTCAGATGCTGACGTCGTGCTGACGTCACGCGGGACCCACTTGTCAGTAGCAGCACGGCCGAGGTGACATCATGCTGACGTCAGCAAGCCACGTGGACCAACCCCAGCATGACACATGTCAGCCCAGGATTAATTCAGCCCTTTCCGATTTTCAGAAATTGATTAAATCTTCGGAAATTCATAACTAATTCATACGACCTCGGAAAAATACGAAACTAGGACCAAAATTCATCTAAAATCGAGCTCTACGCAATGGATCCATGCTTGAGTGCATTTGGTTCTTTTGAATTTTCATTGCTTGTTTGTGCTATTCTATAGACGTCGCTAACGCGACTATAATGCGGTTGTTTGCAGACTCGGAGGAGAACCGGATGGACGAGGACTGAGAGTACCGTGAGCAGTACGGAGACGACTACACTGAAGGTGCCACATCCCACCCAATCTCGTAGCACCTATTACGCATGGCTAATATAGAAATGCTAGTGCTTACTTTATTGTCATGATCACATTATGGTAGGACTTGCATGGTAGTATGTCTTCTTGATGGCCTTTACCTTGACGCAACCTTACCCCTGCTCACCCTGCTGATAGGCTAGTCACACGCTTGCTATTACATTTCATCGCTTATTACTTCTACTACGCTTGCACTACATTGACGCGTGGTGGAAACTGGTGTTATCTGGACCATGGGGAGAGTGCTGCGTGTGTGACTTGGGTGCGTTGAGGGTGAGGGTTGTGTCGACCAAGTTGGAGTATACGACGAGCCTGGGGCAAGTCTTGCTGTGGGGTGCTACCTGGGCACCCCTGGAATGGATACCTGTGGTGGGTAAATGGTATATGAGGTGGCCCTGGGTGTGAACCTGTGATGGGAGGAGCCCAGGGTGGAGGTGCTGTGGTGGCACGGTAAATGGAAACCCTGATGGAGACATTCTGCCTTGGTCATCCCTAAGGACTTACTAGTACTCAGATTCACCGGGAAGCCTTACGTACCACTCGCCCTATATGGTGCGGGACGGCCGGACTACTTGGTAGGATATTGCCACTACTGCTAGGTTGATAGCGGACAGTGTAAGGAGGTACGAGGCGCGGAGGATTTCCCCCACACCCTTCTGAGACTTCATGGAGACCTTATGGACCCGACTCATGACTCACAGTTTCAGCCACCCCAGACCGGACTTGGGTGTACCAGGGCTGAATGGTAGAGTGGCATTATCCTAGGCTAGCAAGCGGCCGGAATCGGCCCAGTTGACGACGGTCAGCGAGGAAGGTGGATCTTGAGGTTATGTAAAACCTCTGCAGAGTGTATGGTTGATCGATCGATACATATGCCGACTCGTCGGCAATGGACCTTTTCTGGGTTTCGCTTAAACTAGATACAGAGAGGAGTCCTTCTTTTCTCTCCTGGGAGTGAGTGTTCGGACGTAGCCAGTGGCTACGGGCCTTGAGACAGTGCCGAGAGGGAGTTGGCCTGTCGATTGAGCGATGGTATGACTGTGGTAGGGTGATGGTGTGGAGATGGTGGTTTATCGATCCCAAGATCGAAACCTGGCTCTGGAATGGGAATGGGGTGGAATGGGTGTGTGAATGGAGTTAAAACTTGACCAACTATTATTATATACTTGATCTACTAATGCATAGGAAACCCCAGCCTTATAGGTTCCTCTTGATTACATCCAATTTGCATCTAATTTTCACAAAGCAATGCTCATAGGGTTGGGAGTGGCCAGTACAAATCGTACTGATAAATTTTGGCACACAGGTTCTGCTGAGGAGTATAGCTCCGAGGAGTTTGACGGTTGAGGGGTTCGTTCCTATGCTCGAGTTTGGCGATCTTATCTTCAAGCTGTTCTGAATGAATGCTACTTTTGATTCCGCCAATGCGGCGATGTAATAATCTATGTACTTCCGCACTATTTGTACTCTGATATTAATGTTGTATGGATGTGATATTCGATTGGAATCTGAATAATATGATCTACGACGGTCTTATTACACTTCGACTCTGTGGATTTCCCTTCCCGGAAATCGGGGTTGTTTCACCCATGGTCTTAGTGGCTATGCCATCTGGTGCTGTCTTTGAAGGCTTAGTATAGCTCTCAGCGCACTTTAGCGTTCGATCGATGGCATATCAAACTCCACTTGCGTCCCCTGTGATCCAAATGGTGAAACGAGTCCTGCCTAGCAAGTGTGTCATCGTCTGGTCCCGCCGAGAGGCTTAATTAGATTGCACTAGTACATAAATGATTTGTATAGGCGTTTCCTACTTTTTAAAGGACAATTTACTAAGCAATCCGATTGTAACTAGTCTAAAAGCACTGTAGCTTATCAATTGCTCCTAGAAATACATTTTTTGGGGCAGTTCCATTAAGTAAACCGTCACTAAAAGTATATATGTTTTCATGGACGATCGACTTAAGAGAACTGCTTCTAAAAATATAATTTTCATGGATGGTTGCTTATGTCAACCGTCTCAGAGAATAAGTGATTTCTAGGGATGGGTTGACTTAAGTTAACCGCCCCTACAAATCGATTTACAAAAATAGCTGCGGCACAAATAAGTTCGTAACTTTTTCAAATGAAGTGAGATGAAGACAAATTTATATCAAAATTATAAAGCTCGATGAGATTTAAAACTTTGTAGTTGATAACATTTTTATCGGAGATCGTGTAGTGGTCCCGATATATATTAAGTTCTGAGATTTTTTATTTTAATTTTTTTCAAATGACTTTGGATGGAGACATGTCCTATAGCAAAGTTGTAGTGCTTGATGAGACATAAATGCTTTTAGTTGAAAATTTTCTCATTTAAGATTGTTTATGAGTCAAAACTGTTTACAAGATTTGTACGTATTAAGACAAATGGATAGTATCATATAAGTACTTACAAGTGACTGTGTGCTGCGGTGATAGGGGACAGAAAATGCGAGGTGAGATGTTGTGAGTTCGAGTCTCGGCAACCGCACTTGTTCAAAGCAAGCTAAAAATTAAATTTTGTGAGGAGTGGTCAGTCCAATGGGCTTCGGGTCACATTAAAAGAATATTCTTATTTGTATGACTTCTAAATGATTTTTAAAAAAAGTTTAAAAAATATTTTTTGAGATGGTTGACTAAATCAACCACCCCCAAAAAATATTTTTAGAGACTGCCGACTTTACTAAACTGACCACGAAGATCGAATTTTAAGGACGGTTGTATTGAGAAAATCGTGCTTGGAAATCAATTTTTAGGAATAGTTTTAAAACCGTCTGTGGAAATCAACAGATGGCTATAACGGTTTTGCTAACTGGCTCTAGAAATCATTTTTGACTGTATATATAAAAAGGTTTGTGTAGTAGTGGGATCATAGGAATGATGCAGTGGCGTCATTCATGTAGGGTAAGGAACAGTTTGGTAGGGCTCCAGCATCTCTCAAAAAGGCGACTTCTCTTCTGGAGCAGCTTCTCAGGTTAAGATGAAGCTGTTTTAGAAAACATTTGCAAAAACAACTCTAGAGGCATTTTTTTATATAATTTCATGTCAAATTTGTGAGAAGAAACCGGAGAAGCCATGATTTTGTGGCTCCAGCGTCAAATGAGCCCCAGACAACATCCTTTAGAATAGTTTTAGGCTGCTTGCATGCATACACATGTAACATTATTGTTTTTTTTTTTAGGAAACAGGAGAGGATTGAGGCCTCTACTGGAAAATATATTAAAAATGAAACAATGTTTTACATAGAAAGTTCAAGAGACAAAGAAGGTCAAAAAGAAAATAGCTAAGATTACACAAAGCCTTCTAGCCATAGGTCTATTCGTGGATGAAGAGAAGCCTTTGCTCTTAGAATAAGTAGAGCAAATTCTTGCTTGAAGACAGTCCTACACCTCTGGACTGAATCAGCAATGTTTCTGAAGATTATGTCATTTCTCATGATTCATATCGCCCAACACATCATGACTATGATTTCCATGAAGAAAGGTTGGTTTAGCTGCATCTTGTAACATTATTGTTATTGACTTACTGTGTTAAAAAGTTCATAATCTTTTCAACCTAAGTTGGAGGATAAGGAATTTTTATTTGAAAATTCAAAGCGGTAATCTCAATGTGGTCTACTAGTATTGTAATGCGTTGGATACTTAGGTGCATATGGGAGTCGAAGAATACAGTTTGTTTTGTAGCTTATATACGTATCATGTACGTACGTACATATATTATTCCAGATGGATTGTAGACTTTATGTAACAGTACACTGTTCGTCAGTACAAGTTCGAGTTCAGCATTCCACGGACGTATCTGCACATTTGAGAGTGATATTGCAGGTGCCAACAACTGTCAACTACTACTAGTTGATAGGTATAAAAGGACCCTGTACTCAAGCACAGCCAAACAGTCCGACATCAATCGGGTTCCTATCGACATCTATAGAAGATTCCAACCTCCCTGTTGTTGGCCTATAAAAGAACCCAAGGTCTTAGTGGCTATGCCATCTTGTGCTGTCTTTGAAGGCTTAGTATAGCTCTCAGCGCACTTTAGCATTCGATCGATGGCTTATCAAACTCCACTTGCGTCCCCTGTGATCCAAATGGTGAAACGAGTCCAGGGTAAAGAAAAGGATTTGAACACCTCAGGCATCAAAAAGTTAATCCATGATCACTGCAGCAATGATTACAATGTCCCCTACACCGTGGTGTCCATTATTGGTGCTCAAAGCAGCGGTACTTTCCTTTTTCTTTCCTTAATTAGTTGACAGAACTGCAATAACAAACATTGTAGGAGTACTTGATTTTTTTTTCTTGATAAGGTTTATCCGTAATTTTCTCATTGTAAATAGACAGTACAAGGGAATCATAATTTATAGCGTACGTTGTTGCAACAGGAAATTCCACCACTTGTATATGGTTTTAAAATTTAAATGCTAGTGGGAGTCTGTTTCAAGAGCCAAGAGTAATTAACAAGCTCCCTGGACCTACAATGGCTGATGTACCTATGGATTGTGATGTCGGCCTAAAAACTCTAGTTAAATACTCTCTCTGTACCAAATTATAAGACGTTTAGGGTTTTCTAAATACATTACTTTTACTATGCATGTAGGCATAGTGTATATCAAGGAAAAGTCAAAAAGTGCATAGCAAAAGTCATGAATCTAGAAAAGCCAAAAAGTCTTATAATTTGAAACAGAGGAAGTAGTACATCATTCTCAGCTGTTCCTTTGAAAAAGGTGCAGTACCAGCTAGAGACAATTTCATCAACATACCTTGAAGTACATAAATTTAATTTTATTAATTACCTTTTTAAAATAATGGTACCTTAACAAAGCACGATAGTGTAACCTCCAAATGTTTCATGGACGCACTTTAGAGCATGTGTCATCAAGGAGAATCTTCTTCCCTTCTTGTTTTTTCCATTTTATGTAATTTACGCTAATAATTCCATTTCTGTTAAGCAATGTTTATATTTGAAATTCTCATGTGACACCATTTTATTGAGCAGGAAAGAGTACTCTGATGAATACCATGTTTAAAACTGAGTTCCAGATGTTGAACCAGCAAACACAAGGAAGGCAAGTCCATCTATAAATCAATCGTCTTTCATACATGTCAAAACACACGTCTGTCTTAAGGGCTTTTTAGTAGCCAGTCTGGCCGGGCTATCGCAATATATTTATCAGTTTTGCATACATTATTTATCGATTTTTATGGTTTTCCATAATTAGGAGGGCAACAACTGAGGGAATCTGGGCTGCAGTATCCAAGGATCCCAATGCTATTGTGTTGGATATAGAAGGAGCCGATGGTCAAGAACATCAAGTACGACTGCATGATCTTAATGTTTATGCTTATATCACTGTTCAAAACTGTGTTCAAGATAACGCGTGTCTTTAATGTGTTTAGACTTTAAATATGTATAATAAACTGCGCTCACAAATTAAGCTCTGTGCAGGATGATGCAGGATTTGAGAATCAAGCTGCATTATTTGCCTTGTCGATATCCGATGTAATATTTTTTAACATGTAAGTGTCAAATCTTTGGAATAACTTTTTTCATGATCATGTTAGACTCCGCTTAAGCAGAATATACATTCTTTTTCAGTAATGTGCAGGACATCGGTCGAATGCATGGTGCAAGTATTCCTCTTCTCCGTACAATATTTCAGGTTGCTTTAATTTTCGATTTTAAGCTTTTAACGACATAAAATACTGAGATGCTCTTACGTACAGTGAGGTACAAACAAGTTGTTTCTAGTAATACGTCATAATAGACTATTAGCCTATTCACCATTATGGGCTCCAGCTAACGAATGGATGATTATGATACTATTGGCTATGGCATATTTTCAATAATCTACTAGTATTCATGGATCGGAACCGCATTCGTTATATATTAAGGCCTTGTTTCGATGCACATGTATATCTACTTCAATCCATATGTGTTGGAACAGAATAGGGTGAAGCTTAGTTTAATTTTCACTCTATCCCACTTCAACACATGTGGTTTGAGGTAAATACATGAGCACCGTGTGCATAATCTACCATAATCATATCACTAAAAAGTTGCCATGAGACCTGTGGTTTTTCTCGTGAAATATGAGCATGATGCCACATGTATGTCTTTATACGTTTTCAGTCACATTGAGCTTCTGTTAATAATGTTTCACATAGGGACCCACCTATGAACATGTGTATTCCACAGTTAGTTCAGGGGGCAAGATATCCTGCCAATTTCACATGGCACTGGTAAATTCAGCTGCCTGTTGAAAGATAGCTGGGGTATCTAAAATACTTTGGTAAGAGCATCTTCAATAATTTCAAAAAAAATCACTCAGTAAATTATTGAGTTTTGCAAGTAACTAAAAAAAATTGGAAGCATATTTTTTGGCTTCCTCCAACAGTTTCCAAAATCTCGCACATAAAATATAAAAGATAATTGTACATCAGGAATTCTAAACTATTTCTAAATCACACCGACCACTTTTATACTTTTTTCTCTATGTACATTTGTATTAGGAACCCTGTCCTACTTATTTTTTTCCCCACGTCCTTCCACCTTCAGATTGGCTTTGCATGCAACACGTCTATTCTTGCGATGCTAATGTATATGTAATCCATATCAATGCTTTCGATGGTTCTGTCTAGTGTATTTTAGCAACCAGGTTTAAGTACGAAACATTAGCCTTATGATCTGTTTGGATCCTTCCATTTTGGAGGAACTAGAATCTACTTTATGGACTAAGCTATTTGCTTGGAATTTGACATTTCATACCATTCTAAATTTTACATATAAGCCTATCTTAAATTGCATGGGGTGAGATATCGAAATAGATTTTGTCAATCTCCATACTCTACAACTTTTACCAAACTCTTCGGCTCGCTCACCTATATATAGCACATAAGTATCTCCCGCATGTGGTCAATAATAGCATAAAAGTATATGCAGCCATGTTAATTTAATTGACTTGTGCCTAAATTATGATTATTGAAATAGATTTCAATTCTAAGGATCCAACAGAGTTTTAGTTTTTTTTGAAAACATGAAGGTATTCTTTTGGCTGACGTGTTTTACTTATAGGGAACAAAAGTCTAATTGTGAACGCTAGTTTTGTGGTTAGAAAAAAGGAAATGGGAACGTAAATGAAAATATATACATAGCATAATCCGAATGCAATCATTCTGCAGGAGAGACTAAATCACAATATGCATAGGACGAAAGTGGTGATTGCTGTTCGTGATTATAACCACAAGGTTAGTTATGAGTAACATTAATACTAAATTTTGTTGTTTATTTACGTTACAGAAATTCCATTATTTTTTTAACTCACTTTTAACGCTGCAGAAGGCTTCTGAATCATTTCTGCGCCAACAATTACTTTCACCACTGAAGAAGGTAGGACAATAGTTAATTTATGCCATTGAAGCTTTCAAATCTAGAGTTTGGAACTAAATTGATTGTATGTTTGCCAGATATTCGACGAGTCAACTAATAAGGAGAAAATGTCAACAAAGTACTACGATGTGAGTCCATTCTAAATTTGCGCCAAATTACTATTATGTTACACATGTATCTAGAAAAGGTAAAACGCCTTATAATTTTGAATAAAGGGAAAATGTCTCATAATTTGGAATGGAAGAAGTATGATACTACACATGCTTTTCCTACACATCATCCAAACATTGATTCTAGAGCCGTACTATCATAATTTTTTGCATCCAAATTAAATTGAACAGCAGAGACGGCAAAACGCATTAAAAAAACCAGGCACCACATCCACCTCTGAATGTGTAAATGGATGTTTCCAGATGAAAAAAATAATACTTAAAGAAAAGCAGTAAATACTAAACAAAAGTAGTAAATACTAATCAAGATTATAATAATTAAGCATCACATCACATGTACTTATTAATGCCATGTTGTTGTGGATGTGACTGAATAGATACTAAAAATAAAACAAAAGAAGATTATTCGGAAAATAAAATATTGTAATCATTAACTGGTACGGTAATTATGTTTTCCTTGGGGCTGGACCCCATAGTACACAAAACATTTATAACAATTGTACTTTTTCGATTCGTATTGACGTTTTTAAAAACTAACATTGTGAAAGACCCATGAAAATCAGCATATTTCACTAGCGTCACTTAAGAACTGCATGTGTAAATATTTGCAATCGTGGTTTTTTAAGAATACAGTTAGTATAAATCATTTTCTAGAATTTCTGCAAGGCCCACTAGCCTGCTGCCCCCACTGTCACGTGATTTTTGGCGCACGTGCAGTTGCCGAGATTCAAACTCACAATTTTAGGCCTCACATGTTCCTTAGCCACTACACCTTAAAGTCAAATGTGACTGAACAGCAGATACATTCCTATTATGTTCACTTTAATGAATATGGTAATGAATATTTGAAATTCTAAACAAATTCATATGAATGAAGTTTGTGCCGCAAGGTTCTAGATCTCTTTGAGTACTACAACTTTGGTTTGGATCATTTCTCCATCGGAAGTCACTTGAAAAATTCAAAAAATATTGATTTCTAAATCTTTAATTTTAAGACATAATTTTTGGGCCCTAAATGATTTCAAATGAAAAAGTACTAAACTCCAAAGTTGCTGATTTTTTAGTTTTTTTTGCCTCACCTGTCAGTGAAAAAAGTGATGTCGCAACAATAGAATCTCAGTTTTGTCACTGCTGGTTCCAAAGCAAACGACAGTTTCATTTATAGGTGAAAGAAGTGTATTATTAATATGATACATTAAATGTACTGTAAAGTTTCACAATATATTTTTCGTTTCTGCAGACATCCGTTGAATTTTTTCCACACTTTGACTATGACGAGAGAGCATTTCAAAAAAAGGTAAGTCTCTACGATTTCACGGTACAATGCAACTTACTCCCTCCATTTTAAATTGCATGACATTTTGACTTTTCTAGGTACATAATTTTTGCTATGCACATACATACACACTATGTCTAGATACATACAAAAAGCAATGTATCTAGAAAACCTAAAACTTCTTGTAATTTAGACCAGAGGGAGTAATAAAAAATTGCACAAACGACCCACCATAGACTATTAAATAAATGTTTGCAATTAAATATCATGCAATTCAAGTTAATAAAACTACAATGTGACTTTGCTTATAAATGCTTGTACTCAAATTTTTTCAATATAAGAGTTTCTGTTAACACAATGTGACCCTCAAATCCTTACAAGGTGAGGAATTTCTTTTCTAAATTTCCTAATATACTTGTCTGCATTAAACTCATTATAACCAGCGATCATGCAAGTTCAAATGGAGGGCTTGGATGGTCAGTAACACCGGTCTTTAAGTAGGCAACCCAAGTTTGAATCCCCGCGGTGTCATTCTCGCTAGGGTTTACGAGGGTAGGCACTGGCCAAGCGTGTCGAGAGAACAAGGTCCCTACGTGTTCTCATAACGCGGGGGCTAACCTTGCTCTGGCCCCTCAAAGTTCAAATTAGTTGCAGCGACCTCCAGGAATAAATAAAACAGGAGCTTTGGTAATGTCAGCAGGTTCTTTCTTTTTGAATTGAAGGAAACCAGAAGGCATTTATGCCTGAACACTTCAATGAGCTGTCTATCATGAGGATAGGTGCAAAAATCGCCGTCAAGTTAGCCTGAGATAGCCTGCAAAAGAAACATATATAATTGATAAAGACCAGCAAAGAATTAACTTCCGTTGCGGTTTCGTTTAATTGCCGGCAAGTGTGTAATGACACAACCTGAGCTGCCGAAGGCCATGCCCATTGCCAGGCGATGTGGATGGGCTTTCGCTACTATTGCATGCATATTGGGCCGGTGTGGATGGGCTTTCAGCACCATTGCACATTCGGACAGCACCGATGGGTTACCACATACAGTATTTGGTAGTGCTTCACGAGCCGCCGCACTGGCCTGTGGACGGTCATGCGTTGGGCCATAAACAACCACATATGCCTTTAAGACTTAAGACAGTACGAGGCTTTTAACACCCACTTGTCACTTGTGCATGCACTTGGGTTTTAATGCCAAGTGATCAAATGTGGACGGTGTGTAAAAGGGGAGCCATACTAGAGCAATGCATTGCACTCACCATCACACAGTAGTACACTACTACACATTTGATTTTCAGCAACCGGAGTTTTTTTTTTTGTGTGTGGAGGCGGTTCAATATATAACCCCTTTAGAAATGCATTTGTAGAGACATTGACTGTTCTCAGCTGCCTCTACAAATACCTCTATTTTTAGTGGTGGCTCAAATTATAGCCACGTCTAGAAATCAATCTTTTGATGTGGCTTTATTTGCATGCGCCTCTAGAAATCAATTTCTAAAGTGGCTGAAAATAGAGCCCCCTCTACAAATAGTAGCTGCAAAGCAAACTTCGAATTCTTCAAAAAAACTCGGATAGAGAAACGACCAAAACAAAAGTTGCAGATCTCAGAGAGCTCTGCAACTTTATAGTTGATGACTTTTTCATTTGAGATCATCTATGCTAGGAAAATTAAGTTTGAATTTCTCACAATTAAAATTCAAAATTTTCAAACGACCTCGGATGGAGATATGACCAAAACGAAAGTTGTAGATCTCGAGAAGTTATACAGTCTGTAGTAGACAACTTTTTCATTTGGATTCGTTTAGGGTCCCAAATACCCATTTTTAAAATATGATGAAGATAAATTTAGGAGGGTGAATATCTCATTGGACACAAGTGTCTTATGAGTGGAGTGGTTAGGGGAGATACGTGAGAGACTTGAGGTCGCGGGTTCAATCTCTCGCAGCCACCAAGCATTTGTTTTTCACGCGAAAAATTGTTTTGTGTGACTTGTGACTTCCCGGTGGTGTGTCCCTGGATTTCCCGCGTGTGGCTATCCGGTGGGGTATGCCTGGATTAAAAAACTTTTTTTGCTAATTTTGGGCTCGCTGGACAACCTGTTGAGGTGCCTCGAAATAGAGTCACCTCCTAGCCGCCTCTACAAATCAAGATGGAAAATTAGAGGCGAGGCATCGCAACCGTCTCTACAAATAGCCGATTCTGTAGTAGTGACAAAATGATCAAATGCTTGAGCCTTGGCCATAATAATAAGGTCTAATCCCTTAAAAATGTCTAGGTAAAATCATGCAGCTAAGTCATGTTTTCTAAAGAGGGAAGTGACACCTCATATAGTGCGAGCAAGAATGTTTCCTTCATCTATAGCTTATAGACACATATTATCCATCACTCAATTCACCTAAAGCATAATTGATCCATCAATTGATCAAAGAACCTATTGAACCATCATCTCATTTATGTTTTGTTCCATCCATATAAATTCATGTAATTCCTAAGACAATTCATGAACCATTGATCTAAACCACAATGGACAGATTATTCATTAAGATTCATCATATTTTATAATTGTTTTAAGGGGTTGGGGTAGACAGAAGGGTATGTGTGGCGTACCCATGATTTCCGTGAAGGGAAATCCACAGATACAAACAATAATGCGATAATACCTGAAGATCATGCCATCACATTACTGAATCACAGTCGTTATCAAAGTGCATACAACGAATACCTGTCTTAGAGAGTACAATAGTAAGGTTTCCTCATTATTACATTGCCACTTGGTGGAATCACACAGAGCACATAGCATCTTGAACAGCATCAGAAAGCACGATCACGAGCACAGACTCCATCTTCTTCTACCAACTTGAGCGCAGAACGAGACCTCTAGTCCTCCCAACCATCACCCTCATAGTCGTACTCGGGCTCTTCACCTGTTTCACAAGTTTCAGTACGATTTTTACTGGCCACTGGCTCCCACCCTATGCTTTGCGTTTGCTTTATGGTAAGTGGTATGCAAGGATAAGTGAAAAGCCTACTATTTGGTTGTAGTTTTCCTATGCGAGTTCATCAATATTTTAATAATAATTCATCAAGTTTTAATCCGTCATTTCCACACATCCATCCATCCCATCACAAACATCTCACCACACTCTCGCCCTCTAGGCGACAAGGACAACTCCCTCTCGTCCTTGCCTCAGCAGCTAATAGCCGGATCCAAACCAAACCAGGGGGAAGAGAAGAAAGGACACCTCTCTCTAATCAAGTGAAGCGTAGAACATAGGAATGTCCGTAACCGTGGACACGGCTATACATATAGATCGATCAACTCTGCAGAGCGTGTACACCTAGAACCACAAGATCATCATCATCGGCATGTGCACTGCCTAGGCTGATACCGGGCTACCTTCTAACTGGTACGATGCCACCCTACCACTCAGCCCTGGGGCACTCCGGAGTCCACCAGAACGATGAGACTGTGAGATGTAATACCGGGCCACCAAGGATACTATACTATCTTAGGAGGGTGTGGGCCGCCAGCCCATACATCCCTACACTATCTACTTACAACCTAATAGTAGTGGCATCGCCCTAGCTAGACGGCATGCCGTTTCCCGCCCATCAGGAACGAGTGGTGTGCACGAAGGGTCCTATGAGCCGATTCTCTCGACATACCAGTCCTTAGGGGGACCAGATAGGATATCTTCACAATGGGGATAACCAACACCCCGTGCCATAACAGCACCTCTATCCTGGGGATTCATCCCATGAAGACACTCCTCCCTGAGATCTACCCATCTCACATGTACCCGCCACAGGTACATCTCATAGGGGATGCCCAGGTCACACCCCCATGGCATGACTTGTCCATAAACTCATCATAGCATCCTGTCCAGTCGACTCAACCCTTACCACATACCCAAGACACACGCCAAGATCTTCCCAAGTTGTTATCATTACAGCGGCACACAGTGCCTAGCCACTCACAAACAATCCTCCACTCATCATCACATCATAGATATAATGCAAAAGTAGGAGTAAGTAGCGAGCAAGTATTGCGAGCGTCTAAGCTAACAGTGGGTGTGCAGGGGTAAGGTTGTGTCGGTGTTTCGAACAAACACCGGCAAGTAAATTTATAATTGTTGCGTGTTAGGCTTGGATGGTGTACTAAAGGACACAAGGTTTATACTAGTTCGGGTAGAATGTCCCTACGTCCAGTCTGCTGCTGCTTCGTGTTATTAGTACCAAAAAAGGTTCATAGTAGGGGGTACAAATGATCAAGAGAGGGATAGGTCCCAAGTCTCTGATGGAAGGGTCAAAAGGGCGCCAAGAGCTCGGTTGCTGCTTGACTGCGTGTTGTGAGTCCCAAACCGATCGGTCGTCTTCTGTCTGAAATTGATCCGTCCCCCTAGTGGGGTGCCCTGCCCTCCCTTTTATAGACCAAGGGGGGAACAGGGGTTACAGATAGGAGAAAGAGGAAAAAACCAAAGGTAGAGAGGGTCATTTGAGGGAACCGGGTCTTCCTTTTCCCCTATGCCTGCCCTGCTAACATGGAAGAACGTGTTAGGAAGGGCGTGTTCGTTTGATCCTTATAGGGCCATGCCTTGGCCTCTTGCAGCAAGTGGGCGCGTCCCATCCTACACCGGCGGACGGTGCGGCGTGCCGGAGAGCCGAGCCGTGACCCTTCCGAGAGTAGGCGGGGAAATCACCATACATCGGTCTCTGTAGATGATGCGAGTTCTATCTTAGATCATAGTGGTTGTCGTATGCTCGTGTTAGTATCCGCGTACGAGGGCTGATGGCGGCGCCCACAACACTGTGGGACAAAAGTCGGTGCCTACAACACTATTCGGGTTCTGTCAGGCCGAAAAGGGCCAAAAAGCGCCCATCCCATCGTATCATGACAGTACATTCCTATAGGTATGCAGGGCATGGTCCTCGGAACTGCGGTTGACTCGAATGTCTTGTTGTACCATGTGCTCGTATTTATGAAGGAACAACATGTAGCCGCCAGGCGAGGCGGAGCCAGCCCTTAGCCGTCGGGCGAGGCAGAACCACCCCTCAGACGTCGGGCGAGATGAAGCCTACCCTCAGTCGTCGGGCGAAGCAGAGCCAGCCCTCAGCCGTCGTGCGAGGTGGAGCTAGCGCTCAGACATCGGGCGAGGCGGAGCTAGCCCTCAGCCGTCGAGTGAGGCGGAGCCTGCCCTTAGCCGTCGGGCGAGGCGGAGTCTTAGCCCTTGGGGGTCGGGCGAGGCGGAACCAATCTTCCATTGTTCGGGCAAGAAGTGTAGTAGCGTTCTTGTCTGATCGAAAGCGTTAACATTCGATGGTTATTAATTCCACCTCGTTGGGTACCCCGGTATTAGATCCCCGATAGGTTGCGACAAGGAAATGGTTTTCCAAACAATTCTACCATGCAACCTATCACAGTTCATTTGCAAAAGTAAAGCACTAGCATCTATGTAATTGCATGCCAAATAGGATTCTACGAGGTTGGGTGGACGTGGCACCTGCTGACTGGTCATCTCCGAGGTCCTCTGAGTAGTCGTAGTCCTCCTCCTCAGGCAGCTGCCCCTCCGGGGTAGAAACGAGACGTATAGTTGTGATAAGCAACTCCTATAGATAAGCACAAAGAAGCAACAGAAATCCAAAAGATCCAAATGCACTCAAACATAAGCCTATGACGTAGAGCTCATTTTTAGAAAAATTTGGACACTTGAATCATATTTTTCTAAGGTCGGATGAATTTTCTAAGTTTGAATCATTTTTTGAAAAGGAAAAAGAGCTGATTAATTCTGGGGGCGACACATGGCGGCTTCTGATTAGGTGAGGCAGCTCGGGTCACTGATAGGTGGGTCCCACGGGTGGCAGAGGCTGACAGGTGGGGTCGGTCAACGGTTAGTGTTGACTAGTCAATGGTCAACGTTGACCGGGCTGGACTAGGCCTGGCGGCCTGGGTCATGGGCTGGAATTGGGCCGGGTTGGGTGGCCCAGCCCGGGCATGTGTTAAACATTCAGGCTGGCCACATGGCTCTGTTGGCTCCTAATGGGCTTTGGCCTCACGGGGCTGGCTCACGGTGGACTATGGTGCGGTGCACCGCGGAACACTGACTTATCCACGATGAACCGGGTTCACATGGGTGTTCGGTGAGAGCGGTGCACGGTGCACCGAGTGCACGCGAGCACGACTGCCTCTCTTCCTTCTTGACCGCACCCTCGCCGGTGGTGAACTTGCTTGACCGTGCTCTACGGTGGCTCAGGGAGGCAGGGAAGGGGGTCTACGGTTCTGCGAGGTCATGGTGAATACTCAGAGGGGCTAAAGGTGGCGGATTGAAGCTTAGGGTCGGCCGACAATGGCACTGTGGTGGACTGCAGTGGCACGAGGATGACGTCGAGGTATCCCTGGGCGTCGGTGAAGCTCCGGCGGGGTCCTTCTAGCCTTCTAGGGCTTCGGCGAGGCCTACTAGGGCTCCAGGCGCAGCTCCAGAGGCTCGAGCGAGGCTGGCCACGGTAGTGGTGCCACGGTAGCGACGGCGGACAACGGCAAGGTCACTACGTCAGGCAATTGAGCCCTAGAGTGTCTCTTTCTCTTCAATTGAGGTCATGAGTGAGCAAAAGGGCTCGACGATGGTGACCAAAGGGAACGTGGGAGTCCGCACCACAACAAGGTGTGCAGCGGAACTTCGGCGAGCGGCCGGCTATGGCGAACTAGGGCAAAGCAGAGGCTTTTTGTTCAACCGATATGGCTACAAGGTTCATGGGGTCACAGTGAAGCTCGATGGCCCTTCCTCGGTGTGCGAGGCGAGTTGGTCGAAACGGCTCCGACACGGCGGCGATAGAGCGCATGGCGGCAGCGGCGTCGCAAACGTGACAAGCGAAACAAGGGGGTCTAGGCTAGCGTGGCTAAGGCTATGTGTGTCCCATGGTGAAGCGGAGCTTGCCACGGTGGCATCTTTACCGCTACTGTCCCGGATCTGCCGGATCGGGGCCTCACCGTGGTGGTGCATGGCCATGGCGGGCACGGTGTGTGCAAGTGCGCCGATGCAAGCGTTCCCGAGCCTAGGCGGCTCGGCATCGCTGTGCTCCGGGCGTTTGACATGTACGAGTGCATGGGGTGCCTAAAGATGGCGACAGGTTGCACCTTTGGCCCTCCCAAGTGGGGAGAACACGGTGGCGGCCATGGCGTGCACGCCGGTCGACACAGAGCGGGGGTTCAGGGGCTCACCGTTGGTGGTGGTGAAGCTAGGATGGTGGTACAGTGGTGAGGTGAGGCAGTGATGAGGTGGTGCGGTGCGTGCCGAGCTACTACACCAATGTAGATGAATGGGGCGTCGTCTCCGGCTCCGGCAGCTGCTCCGCAGCGGCAGATGACTCCGGGGCAGCGGCGACTCCTTCCTTCTCCTCCTTGGCCCTCCTCTGTGGCTTGGCATGGTGTGGGTGTAGCCATTGGGTGGCGGTGGGGTGAGAGAGAGGCGCTAGGGCACTCGCAAGGGGGTTTTATAGCCCAAGCTCACCCATGCGGGGCGGCGGATGGCGGGGAACGGCTAGGGGACACGTGTAGGGTGATCACAAGCTTTAGGCTACTGATGGTAGGGGGTGCGGGCCATGGCGGGCGACATCACGGCCATGCGGTTCCAGCTAGGGGCAGTTGTGGTAGCGCGGATCGTCGACGTGGCGGTCATCCAGTGCCTGGAGAGGGCGGTTGGCACAGGGATGGCCTAGATGGTCCTTGGCATTCTCGGCTTCGCGCTGGCGAAGGGGCACGGTGAAAAAGTAGAGAGGGAGAAAGGGGAAAGGGATGACAGGCGGGGTCCATAGGCCCATGTGTCAGTCACGGGTGTGAGAGAGAGGAGGCGGGGCGCGGGTGCGGAAGTGGATGGCGCTGGCGGGGCCGCTCGGCGTGCCGTGCGCGTAGGCATGCTGGCTGGGGAGCGCTGGGCCATGGTAGCGTGGGCGCGGGTTGAGCACGAGTGCTAGCTAGGCCGAGCGCGAGCTGGGCCACGCTGGCCGGCTGGGCTGCCTTTGCTCTTTCCTTTTTCTCTCTATTTTTGTTCATCTTTTCTATTTCCTATTTCTATTTCTTTAAGCACTTATGCATGTATACATGTGTTGCCAAGCACATATACATCCTTGTGGGGTCCACTAGGGGTCATCTAGGGTTCTAGGGTCCAAACCAAGGGTTGACAACATACAAACATCAACTTTATTTAATAAAGGTTGTCAAGTTTTAATTACATCTCATGAAATCATAAAGAAGCAACTCATAAGTTGATTTAATGCATATGCTCACACAAGCTAAACTTTGGGTCTACTTGTGCAACTAGGGTGTTTTCCTTGCATGACACTCACCATACAAGGGTTTTTTTCTATAAAAAAAGTTTTTGAAAGTTGTGATTTTTGGGTTGTGGGATTTTCAGGGTTGTTACAGTATGGGTGAAAACTCATGCTGTGTAAGGCCACAGACCACTAGGGAAGAAGAAACCTATTGGGTTGGGGGGAGTGGGGAGACCGGTGTTGATTTGGATGTCACTAGGAGGAGGACGATGGTGCTATGGTGGAGCCTATGCACCATGGAGGTTGAGGCTAGCATATGCAGGAGGACACTAACATGAGGAGGAGAGCACCATTCCAAGGATGTGGAGGCCTACACTTAGGGTAGGATGGACCACGACAATGAGGAAGGGGACACGAGCGAGATAGGAGAACCAGCCAGCTGTGGCCGCACTTGTGCCTTCTAACTTAGCCTTTTCGAAACGGATTGTGTGGAAGGGGATATATTTTTTCAAATATATGGTGTGTGGTGAAAAGTGATAGGCAAAGAGCAAGAACCATTATCTTTCATTTAGTATCAAATGATGGGCGTACACCTTACCCATCACTTTTGCTATAACACGCAAAGACCAATTACATTGTGAACATGTAAAAGTGATGGGACATGGTTTCTGCCTTTCACTTTTTTGTTGGTATAATAGCATGTCACTTCTACATGCTATGTCCTAATTTGGAAGCAAGGGGTAGGCAAACCCAGGGACGGAAAACCTCCCAAGAAGAACTAAATGACTTATTTAAATGACATCCCGCCCCATGGAATGCTCACCTTGGGAAAACTCCAGAAATCCCAATGGGGTTTGTGTTTCCAAACTAGCCACAAATGTTATGGGTCTTCGACGGGGCGCACAAATACAGTTATACATGTGACAGGCATGGTTTCCTCATGTCACTAAAGAATTTACCAGTAAGGTGTCAAGGATCATTATCTGTGCTCATGTCATTAACATAGGTTTCCATGCAGTGGAAATCTAAAAAAGGTCAGGAAACCTTTTGTCTCTAAACCATTTAATTGATCTTTTCCTAGTAGTTTTGAACCAGTGTTGTACACGATGATTATTGTACACAAACTAGTATGCACCACAGTACAAAGCTGTCAACAAATTAATGGAGATAAATTATGGACCTATAGGAAGCATGAATTAATAAGCAAGATGGTCTGCATATGCATTGCAATCTGAGTTATTTTATAATAGTATAGAGCTCTAGAACATGTAAAACATTTGATTTTCTTAGTATCAGTTTAGCATGATTAATTTATTTTCCTTTCCATGCAGTGTCAAGATATAATTGCTCAGCCTGGGTTTTTAAAGAAAAGACAACAAAATTGGCCAGTTGATGAATTTCCAAATCTCGCAGAGAAGTTATGGAAGAGCATTCTGCAAAATGAAAAGCTTAATATGCCATCTTACTGGGTTCGCATTATACAATAACCAGATTTCTTGGATTAGCATAACCTCCGGTATCATTTAATCTAAATTGAACCATTGCATTCCTATATATGTTTGTAGGTACTGCTATCTCGGGAACGCTGTGAGGCAGTCATGAATAAAAAACTTTTGTCACTGCAAGCTAATGATGTAATATCAAAACTCTTGTGTGTTGTGACTTTTTTTTGCATCTAGTTGATTTTATATAATGGTTAATAATTCTCTTACCATATCCCAAATATTTCTCAGGATTACAAATCACTACTTACAGAAGGTTACCGGACTATTTCACCAATTGAGTTTCACGCTGCTGTTAAAAGAATCCTGCAAACTATCCTTCATGAGTAAGACCATAACCACAATTTATATTTCTTCCCTCAAACCAGCAATACAAGATAATGTTTAAACTGTTGCCAATTAAGTATATATACCCTCAAGTTTCTTAATTGTTACCATTTTGGACCACACAACATGGTTTTTAAAATATAGCTTTGACTATGATTTGCTATTATAATATATTAAAATATCAGCAAATATATAATTTTAGAAAAAAATATTTTTGACACTAATTCATACATGCTTTATTATTGTTTCCAAACCACAAGTATTTCAAAATTTATGGACAGTAAAATTTCTAAAATATAAAGTCAATCTAAAATGACATTAATTTTGAAACCTCTAATAAAAGCAACAAAAATAAAAACAGTTCCCTTAATGTATTTAGAAGACGGCATATTTTATTTTTGTATGTGAATTTAGAGGACCACTATATACATTTATATTTATCTTGCACTATGCAGATACAGCGATGCTACGAAATATTTTGACGAAGAACAAGCAAATAAAGTGAAGGACAATCTAAGGACACAAATTATACGTGTGAGTTCTCTTGGTTCCCATGCACAAACATTTTGTTGGAGTATAATATTTTTATTTTTATTTTTAAAAATTAAAAAATTAAAATTTTGTCTTTAAATCTACAATGTAAAAATTAAAATTTTGTCTTTTAAATCTACAAACATTTTTGTATAATCATTTTTATAAATGTCCAAAACCCTATCAAATCCTTCAACTTGAATTCACAAAATTCCTTAAAAGATTCCAATACCTTTTTCTTTTCTGTCGCTACTAAGTCTACCACCCTTCATGCTCAGGCCTAGCCCCCGCTCTCCTCATCTGTATATGTCGCCCCTATATTGTTTCCTATCTCCAGCGCTAACTAGTTGACGTCTGCACACCGCATCACGAAGTGGGCCATGACATCACCATATGTCGCCCCAGGCTTGGAGATCCATGAAACCTCGACAGCTACGCTAGCTTGTGTTCTTATCCCTTCTCCACCTACCCATTTCTCTTTCTTCTTATACCTTTACATTACTTATTCATTCACTTCAATATCCTATGACCCTTGGACAAGCCCTTTATCACAAGTACCATAACTTGCCATATCTGTATGTCCAGTTTTTATTATCTTGACAGTAGTTCAATTGTTTATATTTTATGGGACTGAGCCTTTGTTCTTCACTTTATGTCCATAACGTTGACCATAAAAATATTATACGAATATTACCTACTCAGTATTTCAAAAATAAATTATTCCATTAGTTGTATTGTCATAATCCATCAAACCCACTCCAGGGCTAGATGTGGTTTAAGTCATGATGAGGCACAGCTGGACATAGGTGCTGACGTGAAGCATATTTGCCTATCCACGGCTCAAAACTAAGCTATCCATGGTGGCCTAGTTTCTTCACGTGATGAACCAGCACCATGGACCTTCTATAGGATGAGACCGTAACTGAGTGCATTGTTAGCGTCTTACCTGAACGGAGAATCTTTATTTTAGTCCTTCATATATCCTAGCAATTTTATGTACTGACATGGTACTGAAAATATTATGCATATCACAAGCAGGATGCTGAACCAGGATTCATGAGAGCATTGGACAACCACGTGGAAGTATTTCTTACTAATGCTACTGAAGAAATTAAAAAATGTATGGAGAGAAATCTATTTGAAGACATGGATGGCGTGGTTACGAAACAAAGTATGAATTTCATGCATCAAATACAAGGTAATGCCGGTAATAACTTACATTGCAATTTTTTAATAGTTCGTGAATAATTGTACAAGTGATTTCTGAAATTCAAATTTTAGTTTTTGGTGCAATTATGTGTGTGTCTACGAAATCAGCACTGTAGCATAGTTTGGTAAGGTTACATCTACAAGCCATTGTGTATCTCATTTAAGAGCTACATGCCCGCTTGGTCTTAGGGAAGCACTGTAGCACGGTTAGGTTAGATTTGTTCTATTTAGATCCTTCCGATAAAAGACATATCTCTTCCCCTTCGTTGTGGCCTGTGGAATTCCTTGATAACCGTATATTTCACCCAATAAATATTCAAGGGGTTCTTATGTTCTTGCCCTTGTTTTCAAGCTCAATTGTGATTTCATCCTCGTTTTCCAACTTTTTCATTTTCTGCTGCTTTTCTGAACTAGAGCCAACGTTTATCCTCATTCCATTAGGTGGATATAATGGTGTCAGCTATAAAAACACTAGTTTGCCCTTGCAGAATTGCCTGTGCTTTTATGATTACTTTTTCATTTTCCCCAAATTTTAACATCTAGAGCATTTTCACAGATACCAAAACAATTTTCACAACAAAACTTAAAATAATTTGCATACATTGACATAGATTTAATTTTAAAAATATGCAAGTGCATGAATAAAGATTACAAGTGCACCCATAATTCTTTTATTACAACTTCTCTGGATGTTTTCTCCTTTTTATTTCCTTTATTCCAACTAAACTAATAGAGGAAAAATAGGGAAAATGGTTCGTTTGAGTTGTAAATGTAGGGGCAAAATAACATACTTTAAAAAATGAGGACACAATAACAATTGGTCTTCACAACAGGGGCCAAAAAAACTATTGTGCGTGCCTATATGCATTGATAAGCTTACTTGAACTGGTATTGGTTATGTGATGAGCAATGTGAAATCTTCATTATGAAACATGAAGGATTCTTGAGAATCTAAAACACGGTTTCTAGTGGTATACTACATTGATGGGTGCTACTTTTGCGAACACATCAGCATCTTGATTTCTATCGCAACAGATGTTGGTTACCATGATTCCCGTTAACATGTGGTCAAGTCTATGGAATGTTTCTAGACAACGGCACAGTGTTGTTGTTTCACCTATTAAATTTTGTTCTCTTTCAACAAGCATGGTGACCCTAGTGACCCTCATGCTCTGTCTACTTACATGGTACAAATCTTGGTTCTTGTTGCATTGGAAAGAAGCTGTGCATGGTGCATTGCACAAAAAATATTGGTAGGGCGTTCGGCTTAATGGCTAATCAGATATCGAATGTGATTTTAAAGGGGACCAACTGAATGACATTTGGCTCATTTATTCCAAAATATATCCCCTACAACAGGTGTGTAGTATACATAACTATGACATGTGTGAGGAAGTATTGCCACATCTTTCACAAGGACATAAAAATTACACATGCCATCTTCTAAAAATCTTGCTACTATAGTGTGTTGAAACGAACAAGAATTTGTGATAACCATGTGGAGGAGAGGTTGAATAGATTATTCTGAAACCTTAACTTGGGCTTTGCTGAATTTCACTAGAGAAAAAATATATTATATTTTAAGATGTGCGACCATGAGTTTTAGTGATGCGTACATACCAAAACCCAAAAGAGTTTAGAAACCTATAGTCAAACCTATGAACTAGCCAGAGATAATCTAAGGAAGGTAAAGGTCACAAAACTACAAAAATGGAAGCTCAACTGTAGTATGTAATGAAATCATGCAAGATGGGCAAACTCCCGGTCTTGGAGATGTATCCTACGATGTCCACATGAGAGATCCACAATTAATATGTGCCCGTCCGAAGCCATACCTATGACACGGTGTTGGCTGAGACATAAAGGCCACCACCAACCAAGACAAGTTCCCAAACCACTGAGGTTCACCACTTTCCTCTCAACTCATACAATAAACTTTGTGTTGTCTCGCTACAGAGCTTCTTCACCAGGTAAGGGGGCTCCACGTCCCCTGCACACCTAGTCACTATTGCACCATGCAAAGTTCGGAGGGTCAACGTTAGTGGAGACTTGGTATGGCTCCAAGTTCTCTAGCTCACAATGATTACAAGTTTCATGCGACATCAAACACTTGAGCTCATAAGCTAAAGGCCGATCAATCACTAAGATGGAAAGTAAGCTCAATTCCATGCCTCCGATATGATAAATTTTCTTTCATATGGTGGATGGAGTGATCAAAGGCATGTAATATCTCAAACCCCTCAAATGACATGTGGTATGGGTTATATATCACTTTCCACCTCATATAGTCATTGGCTATAGTCTTCTAGAAATATAACTGGGCAAAGGTCTTTTGTCGGCAAATATGATGTCATCAAGTTGTCTGGTCTATTATAATCATTGAGTATATTGCAGATTGGCTAGCATCATTTGTCCAGAACTCTTCTCTTCACAACCAGACTGTGTCCTATTCCAATGCATAGTACCTCAGCAGCTATGTTGGCTTGTCTAGCACTTGGCTATCTTCATCATCGGACCTGACCTATTCACTTTGATAGTGTCGTAGTCAATCACTCCTTCCATCAATTGACTAACCATCTAATGCTTTATTATTCGACCCTCCACCTCCGCCATCACCAGACTGTTCCACCTATGTTAATGCTGGTTTATAGTTTCATCACCAATCTTCCTGCCACATGACTGATTGCATCACTAGGACCTAAATGAACATGTCTAACACATCTTAACATACATGTTAGTCCTAGTGATGGGGTTGTCATCAAAATCACTAAAACCACACTTATAGTATGGATTCGCCCCATATTCCTTACGTGTGTCTTCTAAGAGGACATTCAAAACATAGTACACTAGTCTCTATAGGGCTGGTTTGTCTTTGGCTTCTTATTATAATAGGAAAGTAATAACTATTGTGGGTAATGCTTCAAAGTACAACATTAGTGTCTGGATGAGGACTAGTATTACAAGCACCTTTAGGTTTGTGATGTGATCTTTGAGGACCATGAAGGCGTCTAATCCTTCTAGGGGAGAATATAATCAAAGGGAAAAGTTCCCCGCATGATCTTGAAGAAGGAAGGTTGGCTTCCCCATATGTGAACAAGAAGTGGTTGAACCAATTGTTGCAATCCTTTCAGGTATGTAGGCACCTTTATGTAGATAATTATTTGCAAAATTCAATAGGCTTGATTCAATCCCTCTCATGGAGTCTAGAAGTCCCAAAGATATTCCTTGCTCATGTGCCAGAGATGCACCTTATATGGTTGAGCTATAGCCAAGTTATTCGAAAGTTATCAAATATCTCTTGGAAGTTTGGGCATGATTGACCTAGCATTGGCACTTCAAGTATATATTATTGACTTAGGCATCCACTTTACATTTGATCTAGGGCCAAGGATATTGTGAACAAGATGCAAGAGGAGAGATATAGCGTATTGTAGTATGAGAGGCTTTAACAATGTAGAAATAGATTCCTTTCGCTGTAATAAAGTTGGTATAAGGAAATAACGAGTGCGCACAAGAATTAGCGAGTCCACTAGCCAGTTGGTCCTTGGGAGTGGCAAGGGATCAGGCAGACCTTGTTGAGGATAGTGAATTTGATATACACAGGTCAATTAATATTTTTTTCTTCACTTGCATGGGGTTGCATTGGCATTTCAAGTGCATGAATTCTCTAATATGCTTCACGTGTAGAAGTTTACTAAGTTCGGCGCATGCGCCTTTCTTATGATTCACCAACATTTTATGAAGGGCCTAGCAACATACCCCTCTGACAAATGGGTAAATAAGGGATAAATGATAAAATGTAAGCTAGTCTCCAAACGGTGCATGCCATGCATTTGTCGCCCTTATGGACCATGGTCATTCCATCAATATCAATACTCCTTGCCTCAGTTCTGGTTAATGGTACATCCCGTCAGAAAGCTAGACATTGGAGTGCCACTTGGGCCAAAGATAACTTGAATGCTATCGAGGATCAAGAAACATCTCTTAGTCAACCATGGTATCTCATCCAGGATCTACTCTTTTTTGTTGTGTGCTTAGTTCTAGGAGCTCAAAAGCCCTACTGATGGCCTCTAGCATAGTGGCTGTCCCACTAAGAGCAGCTACTATGCCACTAGATATTGACACCCAAGTCCTCTGGGCTCCGATCGTGGCCAGTGTAGAAATCTCATTTTCCTTGTTGGTTCTCACTCTCGTGGCTAGGGACCACAGCATCGTAATAGGTCCAAAAGGTAGAGTCACGCACCAATGATGCCATAACCAATTGACGATGCTTTCATAGACAAAATGAAGCTAATTGTCCTTAGCACCCTGATAAGCACCGAGTATGCTCGATAGGTTCTAGGGTTTTCAAAGAAAATCTATCACGGAAATAATCTACCATGGTCCTGGGCTCAGTGCACAACTGCCCACATGTTACTTCTTTCCTAGGGATTGGTCTTATAGGTTATCAACTTACTATCTGGTAGCCCTTATATATGTGTATGACTAGGGAGACATGTAAACCCCAATTTCGTGCTCTTGGTGACATTTACAGTTACAGACTACACTTTTGTCATTGTGCTCTTTTTATAGATAATGGAAAAATCTGTCTTCAACCTTCTTCAAAGAAGAAGAATGAGTCCACATTTATTACAAGTGCATGCACATCAAAATTTATAATCTTATAACATCTTTGAAACTAGAATTCAATCTGGTAACTGAAAGACTCCATTTGATGTAACTAGAAACCATTCTTTGTCATTGTTCTCCATTAGCTCATCACTTCTTCATATGCCCGTATTCCATATCCAAGTGGAAGTCATTCCCCACAGCATTACTAACTTGTTATTAGACCCGTCTCACTACATGTTAGTATGAAACATACATTTGTTCTGAGTTTGAATAATGCATTATGTTGGTGTACCATTTACAAAAACCCAATGTTTCTAAGAATTGATTGGTTATTTAACAATTATTATATATTTTACTATTGATTGAAACAATTATGCTAGGATTATCAATATTTCATTGTTGTAGACAACTATGATGCTTAGATTTGAGAATTAATGAGATTTAACTAAATGACTAAACAGCCAAATCAAAAGAGTTTTGAGTGGGTCCGTAAGACACTACTACAATAAAACTTAACCGAGGCGTTTGGCAAAGCGGCTCGGAGGCGGGCGGGTATTTGAACCACCTCGGTTAATGCCTGGGATTAACCAAGGTGGTCATTTTTATTAACCGAGGCAGTCACCAGCAACCGCCTCGCAAAATCGATTTACGAAGGCAGTCCGCCTCCTAAAATCTATTAACGGAGGTGGGCCTTATAAGAAGCCCGCCTCCCAAAATATCCCCATTTTCGGAGGCGGGCCATGTGACTTAGGGTTTCACCTCTCTCACTTCCTCTCCCTCACCTCTCTTTCGCCGGTGCCCCAACTCACGAGCACAGCGCCCCCGGCGCCCCACCTCAGAGTTCGGCGCCCCACCCCACCCCTCCCCTCCCTTCTCTTCATGGCGGCATCCCACCTCTCCCCTACCCTCCCCTCCTGGCGCTCCTCCCCTTCCCTCCCTTCAATTCTCCATCGAGGGCGCTGCGGCCTGCGGGCGCTCTCGTGCAGCGGCGTGGCTCTACTATCCCTCCCTCACTTGCGGTGTGAGGACGAGGCAGGGCCACGCCCGATCTGCTGCTGTCGCCGCCGACAACCGAGTGGATCCACCGCCGGACCACCTCCACCACCGCCGCCAACGACGACCGAGCAGATCCGCGCCCATGGTGGCCGTATCTGGCGAGCAGCGGGCAGATCCTCCACAGGACCACCTCCACCACTGCCGACGACGACGACCAAGCGGATGCACGCCCGTGGTGGCCGGATACGTGTCCGTGGTGGCTGGATCTGGCCAGCAGCGGGTGGACACCCGGCGAGCGGGCGGCCTCCTCCAGCGAGCGGACGCGACGGTGGTGCGGACCAGCGAACGGCGGTGAGGTGTGTGGATGGGCTCGGTGGGCCTGGGGTGGGCTCACTGGGCTTGTCCATGGGTTTTCATTTTTTTTGTATTTTTATTTGATTTACCGAGGCGGGCGATCAACCGCCTCCGTTAAGGTCAGATTAACTATGACCTTTGCTCGGAGGCAGATGGGATGCCCGGCTCGGTTAATCATTTTTGCCCGCCTCAGTTAAGTTTTCTATAGTAGTGAGAAATCTTCATTAATCAAAAACAAAAGATAAATAAAACCATGACTAATTAGTGGACCAAAACTTGGTTCCTTCTTGGTCACCCAAACAGAAAAAGTGACTCACGTGATTTTATAGATTTTTTTTGTTTCTGTCTTCAGAATTTATATATTAATGAAACCATATTAATTTTAATGCAGATCTGGAACTGTACGATGATATAGCTGGAGAATGTCAGCAAGTTGAGAAGAACCTTAGGGTTCTTACCAGACAAATCCGGAACCGCTGTGTGGTTAGATTCTACATTTTGTAATTCATAGTGGTTTAATAACTAATTGTTTCACATGCATTTGGTTGACGATTGTTGCCATTATTATTTGGGACCCCTCATTATTTTTGTGTTTATTGTTATGTAGTTTAGTAATTGTAAGGCGTAGTCCATGATGCAAAGAGCAGATAAATCCATGTGGAAAAGCCGTTTTAAAAAGATCAGTTGCAGCAAATTAACTAGAGACTTATTAGTATTCTAACAATTTATATATATAATTTGTTTAATAGAATAACTTATTTTATGGCCACCTTGATTTACCATAAGAATTATGCTTTATTTATGATATAGTGTATATATTTATGATACAAATATGTGTTGCCATAATTCATGATGTTATTTCCAATAATGTTGTACTTAATCACTTCGGTGGAATTACAGGAAACCACATATTTCTTTGCCCTAAACCATTAGTCAAATTTACATGGTTGGCCATATATAGAATTCTTTTGATAATAAACTGAATTGATGTACTAAGGCAGCAGCAAGGAAGACACCTATATGGTCTTGGCTGTGTTCGGCTGACCCAAAAAATCACTGTAGCGGCTGAAAGTTTTTGTGTTGTGGCTGAATCTGTGAGAGAAAAATACTGTTCCGGATGAAAAAAGGAACGGATCAAGCCGGGTTTGGGGTCAGCCGAACAAAAAGAAAAACTTCAAGGGAACCCTCATGTTACATTATATGTAATGTCTCATTTGTTATGCAATGTTTGCAGATGAATTTTGTTGGCCGGTATGCAAAAAAATTCCTTCTGATGGCTGGGCAACTCACATCAATAGGTGACAATCTATATAAAAGACCGAAATTTGCATCTATGTTATATATTCTTACGTGTGGTTCACTCACGTTGAACTCATCGTAGATTTTACTCATGTTGACTGTGTCTTGGTTCAGGTGTAACTTTGGGAGGCGCATTTATTGGCAATTAAGAACCTTGTATCATCCAGTTGTGCGCCAGATACCAACTTCGAATTCCACGTTTATTTCGTGAAATTTTTTGGTTTTGTAACTGTAGCACTTTCGTTTGTATTTGGCAATTAGTGTCTAATTATGGACTAATTAGGTTCGAAAGTTTCGTCTCGCGATTTCTCATTAACTGTGCAATTAGTTTTTTTTTCGTCTACATTTAATGCTCCATGCATGCGTTCAAAGATTCGATGTGATGAGAAAAACCAAAAAATTTTGGAACTAAACGTGGCCTTCATATATATATATGGACCTGGGTACTACCTGCCAACTAGGAGTCATTGCGACTGGAGCTTTTACCAATTCAATAATTGCCGTACGTGCGGACATAAAAATTATATATTGTAACGTATTTGTGCTTCCATATATAAATGAACGCTATTTCTTATGTTCCATCGAATAAATAATAATATTTATCTTCTAGTACATATATGGATACTGTTTCGTATGCACTATGAAGCTGCCTGTTTCCGCCTTTCTCACCAGGCATTGGATTATAGTGTCAAGAGATCACCTTGTTGTTCGGTATTTGGTTGTCGTGGCCCATAATATGTCACGCCATGAAGAGATATGATCCAGACCAATACAAAACCGCTATCTTCTCATCTCAAGGCACACGTTATCCACTACCATTACTACATAGATGATTTTTAGCAACAGCGGTTTTTATGGACAGAGGCGACCCAATCAAAATTCACCTCTAAAAATGGTTTTTTGAACCGGCTTGTCTCTAGGAATTGATTTCTGTCACCGACTATATTTTTAGATTCTTCTGGCAAGCTGAACCACTTCTTAAAAACTCATTTTTAGAGGTGGTTCAGTGTGTCGGCCGCCTCTACAAATGATGGCATTTCTAGAAGCGGCTAGATTCGAGTCGTTTCTAGAAATGGAACTTTAGGGGAACCTAGCAATTTGGCCGGCCTCTAAAAATAGCTAGAGCACTATAAAATTTATAACTTTTACAAATCAAGTCGGATGAAGACAATCTTCCTACCAAAGTAGTTGTTGGCCTATTTGTGGCTGTAGTTGATAGGTTTAATATAAACTTGGAAATTTAAAAAGGTTGAGTGCCAGCTTATTATATATAATCATTGTCGCTCCAAACGTAGCATCTCCGAGTTTGTTGGTGTAAGCCTGCTACTGTGTGTGACGTGGATGGATGATGTGTCAATCAGATGCAGTGGGGCAAGCTCATTTGAATTCAAGTGTAGAAGGCGGGAATGGTTGGCGCACTGGAGCCTGGTGACCGCGCCCAAGTCTAGATTAAGTTCACGCAGTTGCATTCTGTCTCCTTTGTATCTTTTTTTAAGCAGTTTATAGTTCGCCATTGTGTGTGTAAGCTACTAGTATAAGCAGCAGGGACTAAGTAGTTGTTGTTAGCACATCACTACTGGTGTAATTGTGATTGTACTCCAAACTCATATCAGTGGAAAATAGCACTGTCCTCTAACAGTTGTCGTTCATCCTTTCTCTGAGTTCTTGCGCGTTCTTCATGTTCTAGGCTAGCCACTGCGTGAAATCGTCTGTGATTGTGATCCTAGGTTCTAACATTTTGGTGTTAGAGCCATAATCACACATCGAACCATCGTTAATCCACTCAATGGGTGACAATCGAGGGGCCAACGGATGTGGAGTTGGCGGTGGCAGGCAGATCGCGTACCCTATGCTGACGGCAACCAACTACACAAGCTGGAGCGGTCATGTTCAGTCAATCATGAAGGATCAAGGTGTGTGGGAGATCGTGCAGCTGCTGGCGGGGACGTCCGAGCGCGGACATACATCGGCGGAGGCTGCGAAGGACAAGAAGGTGCGAGTGCAGTTGCTGCAGTGTCTTCCCGATGGCCTGCTGATGCAAGTTGTGAAAAAGAAAATGGGGAAGGAAGTGTGTGATTCACTGAAGGCGAGGTTTGTTGGCGCTGAGTGGGTAAAAAGTAGGCGAGGTTGCAAACCTTGAAGAGTGAGTTTGATGCCATGCGGTTGAAGGAGGATGAGCCGATCAATCAGTACGCCAGCAAACTGACTGGGATGTCAGTCATGTACGGCAATTTGGGCGGGACGCTTGATGATGTGGAAATGGTGAATAAGTTGTTCGACACCATGCCCGACCATTACATCACTATCGTTGTCGGGATCGAACAGTTCTACAATCTGAAGATGTTAGTGTTAGAGGAAGCCGTCGTGCGGTTGAAGGAGTTTGAAGTGCGGACTCGGCGGGGAGTCAGGAGTGCCATGTCTGACAGCAGTCAGCGATTGCTCACATAGGCAGAGTGGGAGGCCCGACAGAAGAAATCCACGGGGGAGAGCTCTGGAAAGGTGAGATCGCAGGACGATGGAGGTCGTGGTCGAGGCCGAGGACGTGGCGGTGGCCGTGGTGGACAAGGATATACGGCGAAGGATGGCACTGGCAGTGGCAAACGTTACAAAAGCCACATTCAGTGTTTCAAGTGCCACAAATATAGGCACTATGCCAATCGGTGTCCTAGAGAGAAGAAGAAGGAAGAGGAGGCGCACCATACCAAGATTGTGGAGTTTGAGCCGACAGTGCTGCTGGCAGAAATGGAGGAGCCGGGACTACATGAGCAGACACTATCAAAGAAGGTTCAGGGGGAGATATTTCCGAATGAAGTGCAGGTGATACCTAAATTGCACTTTACTGGCGATGGGGAGTCATCTAGTGATGTATAATGGAGCCAGCCAAGGTTTTCATTATCGGAAATAAAAATTTATCGGATGTCATGGATAAATAGGATAAGCAAGATATATCGGATATATCGGACCAAATTCAAAAAAAATTCAAATTGTTTTGAAAAAATTTCGTAGAATTTGAATTGAAACTATTCCTAAGCTATTAAACATCACTTGTCCACAGATAAAAACAAGAATAAAACATTATAGTGTGGGACCGTCGCACGGCTGAATTTGGGTTGTCTGTGTGGAAGCAAAGAAGGGAAAAATTTGGCCGATGTCAAATTTTATCGGACCCTGTGGATAGAAGGGAAATTTCGGAAATTTCGGTGAATTTCGGCCGATAAAAAAAACCTTGGAGCCAGCATCCACATGACAGGAGATCGACAAAAATTCAGAGACATTGACTACACTGTTACTGGTAAGGTTGGTTTTGGTGATGGTTCTACTGTTGAAATTCAGAGGAAGGGCTCAGTTTTATTTCAAGGTAGTTCTGGTGATCAATGGGTGCTTTATGATGTTTATTTCATTCCCAGGCTTAGAAGTAATCTTGTTAGTCTTGGTTAGTTAACTGAAATTGGGCATAGAATTGTTATGGATGAAGATGTGATAGAAGTGTTAGAGAAGAACCCATTGAGACTGATAATGAAAGTTCAGAGAACTGTCAATAGATTGTATAGAATTGAGATGAAACCTGTTGAACCAATTTGTTTCCTAACTGGCATTAGTGATCAGTCTTGGCTTTGGCATGGTAGGCTTGGTCATTTGCATTTTCAGGCAATGAAAATGCGCTGGTTAAGAAGGAGATGGAAGGGGGTACCTCTGATTGAATATCCAGATTATGTGTCACTCCTGTTTACCAGCTAAGCAAACTAGGAGTTCATTTCCTCATGCATCTAGGTGGATAGCTGATGAGCCTTTGGAATTGTTACACATTGATTTATGTGGTCCAGTCACACTAGAGACAGTTGGAGGTAACAAATATTTCATGCTTATTGTAGATGATTGCACTAGATGGTTGAATGTGATAATTTTAAAAACAAAGGACCAGGCTAGCTCTGCATTTGCCAAGTTCAAGGCAGAAGCAGAAAAAGTTTTAGATAGGAAATCAAGATGGTGAGATCTGATAGAGGAGGAGAGTTTTTGACAGCAGCTTTCAAGGATATTTGTGAGCTTGCAGGGATCAAAAGGCAGCTTACAGAACCATACTCACCATAGCAAAATGGTGTTGTTGAAAGAAGAAATATATCTGTCATGGAGATTTCTAGAGCATTACTGAAGAGCATGAGAGTGCTAGGGAGGCTTTGGGGTGAAGTAGTGAGGCACTCAGTCTATTTGTTAAATAGGCTACCAACTCAGTCTATTTGTTAAGAGAGGGAACGGAGAAAAGGGTTTTCTTTTTCTGATTTTGAAAACTTGCCCAAATTCAAACAAAGTTTCAATTTAAAGCCACTCAACTCTAGCCCTACACTCAAACAAAAATTATGCATCAGCATGTATGCAACAAAAATATTTCTATAGCCTTATATTTGTTTTTAATATTCATAAGAATTATTGTTTGGTCTAGATAATTCATGGAAAATTAATAAAAGGAAGCAAAAATTATTACTATTTCCAAAAACAAATTTTTAGGGTGTTACAATTAACAAAGGGCGGGGACAGTGCCCGTCTCTATAATAGATTTAGAAAATAGAAAAGTAGTCGAGCCCATACAGAGCCCGTCGTTGAGCCCAACCAAGCTTGTTGTTGAGCCCGCCACCAATCTTGCTTGGACCTGCACCGCAGAAGCCACCGCTGCTTGGATCTGCCCGCACCGTAGCACCGCCCACCGCTGCCGCCGCCACCACCGCCTTCAGATCTGCCCTTCTCGTCGTGGCGCACCACGCTACCAGGAGCTGCCCTCCTTGCCATGCCCCGTGGCGCTGCTGGGTCTTGCCATGGCCCACAGTGCCGTCGGTAGCCGCTATCCTTGCCATGGGAGAAGTGGGAGGTTGAGGCCGATTGTGAGTAGAGATGAGGGCTAGAGGAGAGGCTAGGAGCTCACCTCAGATCCACAGGGGAGAGGTGCCCCGCCGCCGCGATGCGCGCGGCCTCCAGCCGCCGGGATGTCGGATTCACCACCAGGGTGTCGCATTTAGTCGATGGGGTGCCATATTCGATGCCGGAGGGGGAGCCCCCATGAGCGCGCACCCTCGTGTGAGCAGGACCGTCGGTGGTATGGGCTTCGCATCTATCGGTGAGACCGTGGGAGGGAGAGAACCAGTGGTAGAAGAGAGAG